GTCTCTACTTCAGCCCCCTGCCGCCACTAAGCACCGCTTCAGCCCCCAGCGCCCTACTGCAAAGCCCCGACACCCCGCTACCCTGTGCTCCACAGGTCCTGCCGTGCCCAGCTGACCTTCGCCATCTTCCTTCCGCTGCTGACAAGGCACACCTGGCCCGGCCGTGTTAGGCAGCTGCTAATTGCACCAGGCCTTCTTATTGAGGTTACTCGTGCCATCCTCCAGAGAGCACGCGCCATTTTCATGATGCTTCAGAACGCTTTCAGAAAGCTTCCGAGGCCTTCCGAAGCATCTCAAGAGATTTGGAGGACGACCTGAGCAGCAGGGCTGGTTGGGGCTTTGTGCTGTGGCCCGGGGTGGCTGGGGCGGAAGCAGAGGCCAGGGGGCCCAGGCAGCTGGCTGGGGCTGCTGAAGGCGCAGGGCCTGTACCTCAGCCCCAGCGCCGCCACCACCGAGGAGTGCCAAAAGGGTAGAGGTGGGGGGAAGGTAGGTGCGGAGGGAGTCCCTTACCTTACCGAGGCTCAGGGCTGGGAGGGACCAAGCCAGGATTGGCTTGGATCGAGGTGGGTCCTTGCCCAGTGATGGGGGGATTCGATTAATGACAGCAGTCCCCGTTTGGATTGCCATCACTAAGCAATGCAGTCACATGACATCGCTTTATGACTGCATCACTTAGTGATGGAAACTCCAGTCCCAATTACTGTTGTAACTTGAGGACTACCTGTATGTTGTGCAGTGCATTTCTATTTACAAGTATTTCCCCAAAAGAAAATATTTCCCTTTCCCGATCTGTACAGGGAAGCCTAAACGCAAGGATGTTTTCCTTCTACTAAACAATAGGCTATCAATTAAAACACCAACTAAGCCACACAGAAACCCTTTTTTAATACAAAACAATGTACAGGTAGTCCCTGAGTTAAGAACGCCCCGTTTACAGATGACCCATAGTTAAGAACAGAGCCTATTGTAGCAAAATTCAAGTTAAATACATAATGATTCGAGTTAAATACACAATGGTTCAAGTTAATTACACAATGCTACTTATACAGTATTATAC